CATGAGATGCTGCACTCAATCGGCTTTATTCACGAACACCAGAGGCCTGACAGGGATCAATTCGTGGACATATACTTCCAGAATATTGCCCAGGGTAGTCCTACTGTTTAACTCTATTGTAACGACTTTGACAAATGGATTGCTCCGCACAGGGAAGGCCGACCAGTTTGATGTGAACACATTTCGCTCGTATTTCCACGACTATCACCTCCAGTACGACATCCACTCTGTTATGCATTACCCGGAGAAGAGCTTTTCCAAAGACAATCTCAACACTATTGTCGCCAAAAATGGACAGCGATTGGGATGTTTTCATCTGAAACAGTGTCCAACACTTTTGGACATTCAAAAGATTAATACAGTCTATAACTGCTCGAAAAATTGGGGAACGAGTCGTATATTCCCCGCAAAATAGTCCAACAAACGCATACCTGAGCTCATGATCAGGTCATCGATTATTTGCTCTCAAAATACGTGATTTAAAAGCTGTTTAATGTTATTCTGCTTTGAAATTCGTTTGTTTAACATATTTTCATCAAATGAATGGCTTTAATGGATATCACTTTTGAAAACATTTTTTTGTAAATTTATAACAATTAGTTTTATCATTTGTCACTCATATGTATGTTCTTTGAAACCAACAAATGGCAAAACAAATGTTACTTATTTTATCAGAACTTTATTTACTTAAAAATAAAATTTTAAACTAGTTTACTTCTGAAACACTTGAAATCAATTAAATTTTCTTATTTTTTCATTCAATCTTTAATTCAATAAAAAGTATTAAGAGTTTTAAGTATCATTAACAGGATTCATAAATATAAATAACTAAATGTAAAATGTTTAGATTTTATAAAATACTTAATAAATCAGTAATTGTGATTTATATTTCGCTTTTTATGCTATTAAACTTATTTTACATTAAATAACCAAAAATTACAAAATTTTTGCAAAATTGAAACTCTTCCAATTTTTTTATTAAATAATTGCAAACAAATTATAAACGGCTATTATAAACAAATTCTATGAATTGAAAACTTCTACAAATGCCTATTGCTATTACTCCTACTCTGAGTTTAAAAAATAAAATATTTTCAAAACATTTTTTTGTGACCAATCAATTCATCTGAGTTTCTGATATACAATGAAATTCTATATGAATTAAAACGTGAATCTAATTAAATAACAAAAAACTATGTCAACCATAAGAGAGAGACCAATAGACTGAATATTAGCAAAAATTGTTCATATTTTCATTTGGAAACTATTCTTATCATAATTGGTGTGCATTTTATTTATTAAAATTCATTGTACTTTAGCTAACAGTTTGCAAGTCATCGCAAATAAGAAGTGCACCGAAAGTGCTATTTAATTGCAAATACCGTAGAATTTATTTTATTGTTTCACTGACTCAATGGCCAACTGTTTTGTGTTAGCATTACATGAATTGAATGAAACTCTTGTATAATCTGAGTGTTGAATAAGAGTTGTGTACAAACTGGAGCACAACAAAGGTATTGAAGAAAGTGATGACAAACTTTCAAATGGCGTTAAGAAAGACACCGATATCAAGGATTTTGTGAAGAACAGCATTGAGCGAGTGTTTGTGTGCCGGTGCTCTGGTCTCGTGTCCGTGTGTTTGGCCAAAAACATGGCCAAAGTCACCAAAGCCTTGCTTTTCTTCTTCAACTTTGTTTTGTGGGTTTGTATCGCATTTCCCATTACTTTACAACAAACGCTAATTATTAATACAAACCATAATATGAATGCAATTAGTTTTAATTGTCTAGCAATTACCACATAATTGTCATAATAATCTAATTTTCTCGTTTTATGCATAAATATTTTTGGCCACAGCTTTGTAGAGCCTATGAATCAATAGTTTTTCTTTGAGTTCAAGAATGGAAATAAATTTGTAGACCTTTTGGCAAATATCGCGTTTCAATGCTGTTGTTAGCAAACATCATATCGCCTTCAGATGTCTGGTTGGCGAACGGCTTATTCAGTTCCAGCCATACGGCTGTATAGCCCGAGTGCTCCGCTCCCAAACATACTGTCCACAGCATTGCTAACAAAGACAACATTAAGTTAATCCAAGATTTTTACTTTAATAGCGAAAAATAAAATTCTTTGAAACTTGGATTATTTTTGGGGATTTATATAAGAATATTCTGCTAAAAAATATCGATTAATTCATACATTATGACTAAGAGAATGACTAAATTATTGGTAAACTATTGTAAAGAATTTCTGAAATTAAAGCAATAATTGAAACAAAATATAGCAATATATCAATACTGTAACCGATATTCAGGTGTTTTATTGTGAATCACAAATCTATCGACGATTACATCAAAAGAAACTGAGTTTAAGTGCAACACATGCTATGAAAGTGTTTGCAGCGATTGATTGATAAAAGTAACTCTCGTTTACTGGTTGACAAACATTAGGCAGAATTATGATCGCGTAATGATATCTAAAGACTTGTCGCAGAAATGATTTGCTTTGAAAGATAAACTCGAAAGTCGAGCAAAAATAAAAGTTTTGATAATAAACTCGTTTAAAGTGAGCGCCCATTCATAGACTTGTGGACAGAGAGAGAGAAATGTGTGCCAATAGATGGCACCGGTAGCGCCTATATGTGGAATCCTATATAAGCGGCGATTATTGCATATTTGCATGAATTTCACAATTAATTTAATATTTATCGACAAAATATATAATTAAAGTAAAGACATGTCAGAGTCTCTCAATCACTGAATGCATTAATAATTTAATACATTTTACGAAAATTTTCAAAAGCTATGAAGAATTGAATTAACATTTTATTGAAGCAAACCTACACTAAAACCCACACATTATATATAAATTCAAATAATGAGAAAAATTCCTTTTCTTAACAATAAATCTTCGTTTAGTTTTAATTATGAAATTAAATAAATCTTTTAATAATAGTGTATAATATGTAAGACTAAGAAAAAAGTGGAATTCTTGCTTTTTGTTGAGCTTTTATGAAAAATTAATAAAAGGCATTAATTATGTGATTATAATATGGAAAGCAGTGATGAGTAGAGAGAGTATAGTATTGCATATAATAATGATTTGATGGGAATTATGGGCAAATAATGTCAGCGAAACTGTGGACATGACTTTTGCATAAAAGTCTTTTCAGACAACATTTGTTCATTCAATCAACAAATATATTTAAAGAGCAGGGAGAGAGAGATAGTGGTGTATTATGTGCATTATGTAGCGCAGGGAATGGTATGGTATATGGAAAGTACAGCCAAACGCACAAAACCTAGCCTTAAATGTCATTTTGAATATTTTTGTCGACAAATAAATGTGAATAAAAGTTTTTTGCTCGGCATTGCTCGTATTATTAGTAGTTTAATACACAATCAAAATCCCAGAAGGATTTGAATTATAATTTTAATGCAGTTTTCTGCGAGTATTAAGGAATGGAAAAGTCGTCGATTCTATTGATGTGTGCATTAGTGATGCCAATGGAGGTTAACATTGAGTTTAAACAGAAATACCATTTCAGGCGAAAAACTTCTTTTTATTCATATTTTTAAGTTTAGATCCTTTTCTTGAAAATTGATTCTCTAGTGATTGGAATACAAGAAAAACAGATGAATTAAAACTGATGTCGTTCAAGCAATTCATGTAAATTCATTAAAACCAAAGTTTTCTAAGTTTAAGTTAAAGTTTTTTATGGATTTTATTATCTGTCAAACAGTTTAATGTGACATATATTTGACCCAATTTTTCATTATTATAACGATTGTGTTTAATTAAAGCACTTCTGTGTGATTAGCCAATCATTTGAGTATTAAAACATATTTATTGTTTGAATCCATAAATAGTTTGAAACTGTATTTAAATGCAAATTCGTCTTTCAGTCATAAATGCAAACAATTTGAGATAAAATCTAGAAATGAAAACACATTCAAATGATTTCTCCATTGATTACGAATTTATTATTCAAACTTTGCCTATAATTTATACATTTAATAATGAATTATTAATATTTTATTTGTGACACAAAAACTTACAAATTATTTTAACATTATTAACAATTTAGTTGAAAATGATGTTGAAAATTGATATATTTTTGTCAATATTTTATTTTATAATATTTAAAACTCTTCTGTTCCGAAAGAAAAGTAAATAATTATAATTACTGTAAATATAACCTATTTATACAATAAAACAATTATATAATAATAATAGTAATAATAATAATAATAATAATGAAGCAAAACAATTAAAATTGAGCCAATATTTTGTATTTAATGCAATATATGACACAATACCAGAGTTTGTAGTCTTTGATAACCGTTTAGTGTTTTTGAGAGGATTTCATTGCAATAAAGAGGTAAAGAATGGCTGAGATATACATCCAAATGCTTTCCTGTTTGTGTGTATTATCTAAACTTGATATCATTTATACATATTTATGTTCATTTGTTTTGAGTTTTGAATATATGGCACAAAAATGAGATTTCATTAATTCTATAATAAGTTATATAAAAATTATCCCCAAATGAAAAACGAAAGAAATATTTGGTCATTATTTTGCAGTTAATATAAAATCGATTTGAACTAAACATTTGAAATAATATAAAAGAGATTCAGTTATCCTTTAAGTCGATTCCCAATTCGTTTTAATAGATTTAATTTATAATAACAATAATTAATAATAACTTTAGTATAATATTACACACGTTTGGCTTCTATGAAGAATTCACCGAATATTTGCCGAGAGTTTGTTATATTGAAAACTAATACAACTTTAAACCTTCTCTTAAATGCCCTACAATTGCATCGCAGACTAGATTACAATCTTTTTCCGCAATCTCTGTCCATAGATATAAACTTCTAATAAAACTCTGTCTGTGTTTAAGATTCAAATCATGTTATTGTTTGCGAAATGAATGCGATTTCTCTGACTAGAGATTTGATAGAGAATTGTGTGATATATTGGTATTTATTATTGCAGTTTATATTATATGAGATTTATATTTCAAGTCTGTATAGAAATGTATGAAATAATTATTGAATGAATATTTTTCTTGGTTTTTGTTTTCTTTTTCCGTTGTAAATGAGATTTATGTTTGAGAGACAGTATTCTTATACTTATAATCGTCTCTTTGAGGCAAAAACCAATTCTCGTATTTTATGCGCACTTCTAGACGTCTACATCGCAAACAAAATATATAATCCGATGTAAAACGCAATGAGTTTAACAAAAAATGTAGTAAAATATTAAAATTGATATTTTGCTGATAAAAGAGCGAAAGTATAGAAACAATGATTTGAAATGTGTTTATAATTCAATGACAATTCAAAACCGATTCCTGACATAAATTGTACCCTTTTTTGCGATTAATTGATACTTAATTGAAATAA